CTAACATTCCAGACTTTCAGTGCTAAAAATAGAAAGTAATGGGCAAACCAGGACAAGTTGATCATGCTGAAAACCTGTGCCATTGAGTCAATTCCGAATCATGGTGACCCCATGTGTGTCAGAGTAGAACTGCACTTCGTACAGCTTATAATGACTGTAATCTTATGGAAACAAATAGCCAGGACTTTCTTCCGTGGCACCAGTGGGTAAATTTGAACTGCCAACCTTTCAGTTAGTAACTGAGAGCAAACCATTCGCGCCACCCAGCTTAATTTCTACATCTGTAAAACGAGGACAATCAATTCTGACCCTGGTTTGGGTGAGGATGAAAACTATTGGTAGTGGATGAGGGTGTGCTTTGGAGAGGAACAGGAGCGGGGCACAGCATTGTGGAATTGCCATTTGGATAATGATTGACGAAGGAGAATGGTAAAGAGCCAACCACTCGGACCCAGGGCTGCCTCCTCGGTTTACTTCTCTGAACCTTGGTCACCTGCGTCCTTACAGTGGGGAATTCAGCACAGCAGTTCCTGTAAGGTTGCGGTAAAGATTAAAGAAGACGGCCCTGCAGAGGGTAAACTCAGTCACTGGGAGCTGCTGCTATGCCCGTCCCTCCTGTTGCACAAACGAGACGCAGGGTGAAGAGCAGGCTGTGCAAGGTCACACAGTGAGGTAGAGCAGACGCTGGCCTATTTGGGCTGCCTGCTTCTCACTGGCAGCCATTCCCGAAAGTCAGCCGCTGATTTCCTCGCAACAAGGTAAATGAAATAAACATACCCGAAGCCACCAAGCAACTTGAATGAGGTGCGGGTCCAAGTACTATTTCCACGGCATGTACTCTGGCATGTGTGCGTGTGCAGCTTGTGCAAAATCCCAGCTCCAAAGGGCGGAGGCTGGGTTAGCATGACCCTCATGAGATTTCCTCTGCGTGATTTCAAGGGCAGGGACCCCTTCCAGCTGGTGCATGAAGTGCGTTTGGCTGGACGGTGATGGAATAGAAAGTGCACGGAATTAAAACCAGGGAAGCCCAAATCATTATCTATTATGCAACAATCAGAGGAAACTGTCTGCATTTCGTAGTGCTGCTGTAACAGAAACAGGAAACTCGACAGAAATCCCACAAATGGGTGACCTTAAAGAACAGGAATTTATTCTCTCACAGTTCAGGAGGCTAAAAGTTGAATTCAGGGACACCAGCTCTAGGGGGAGGCTCACTCTCTGTTGACTCTGAGGGAAGGTCCTTGTCTCTCTCAGCTTCTATATCCCTTGGGTTTCTTGCTTCCTTGGCAATCCTCACATGGAATCATCCTCCCCAGTATGTGTTCCTTTGCCTTTGTCTAATCTGCTCTTTTTATATCTCAGAAGTGATTAGGCTTAGGACACAACTTCCTCTGATATGGCCTTGTTAACAAAGAAAACCCTTTTCCCAAAAGCGATTACATCCACAGGTAGGGAGGTGAGGATTCCAACACACATTTGGGGGTACACAGTTCAATCTATAACAGAAACCATTTTTTCTGAGCATTGACTCTACACCCATTATTTTATTTAATCCTCCAGGTTACCCAGAGAGGTGGTTATTACCAATAACCCCACTGTACAGATAAGGAAACTGAGGTCCAGAGGTGATGAGAAAATAAAGAACTTGCCCAGAAGCACACAGATAGAGCCAGGAAGGCCACTGGACTGAGGGGTTCCTCGATGCGGGGCATTCACAAACCAGGACAAGATGGTCACCCTAGAGCTGCTTACTGTCTTCATCTATAAATGAGGACAGTCAAACCTGACTCTGGTGGGGACGAGGATGCAAAATATGGCAGTAGGTGAGGATGTGATTTTGGAAGGAAGAGAGACACAGTGTTGCGGAATTTGTCATTTGGATTATGATGGAAAGTGGAGAGTCATAAGACTCCTCTGTCCACTCATTCAGACTCAGAGCTCTCTCTCTCTCTCTCTCTCTCTCTCTCTCTCTCTCTCTCTCTCTCTCTC